TCCTTCAAAGAATGACAATAGAGAAAAAAGCCAAAGATCCTGAGTGATTCTCCCTAGGCTTTGGAGCTGTAGAAACTTTGCACACCAATATCAAATCTTAAAAACAACATTCCTCTCTGAGGTCAGTCTCTGCCTTTGCGGTCAGTTGCACCTATGGAACCACTTTCATTGTGATGTGCTGAGGCAATGAAAGCAGGTCTTACGCAATGCTGTATCAGTGTCCCTGTGGTCTTGTGCAAGACCAGGGAATCTTGCAGACTCTACCTGCAAGGCAGAGCCTGAGGCCAGAGCTCTCCCTAAAACATCAAGGAAGCATCATAAGTCATCTGAAGGGTAGGACTGTGGCCTCCCCTCGGGTCTCACAGACCCCGCACTGCCACTGCAGTTCTTCCTATGTGTGGTGGTGATCATAGTCATTTCTCGTTCTAGATGTTATTTTATATATTAACTAGTGAGCAAATTAAAGATGATCAGACTAGTGACTTTAGTTTTCCAAGTCTGTTTTACAAATTATTAAAAACCTCGATAACTCTGAGTTGACGTTCAGACCAGATCAAATCCTTCTGAATGACCTATTCCTAGACTCTTTGGGCTGTGTATGTGTGTGTGTGTGTGTGTGTGTGTGTGTGTGTACTCTTGGATGATAGCTGTAACATCTTGAGGGTCTTTTAAAAGAATGAAGATGAACAAATTAAAATGATTTGCTAGTTTGTGGACATTTGCTAGTTACCTTTCAGCACTGTATATTCAAGGTCTGACTTTTTGTAGACCTCATTATAAAGACATTAACCCTGAAGTTGATTGTGGAAATTCACTTCCTCCTTTGGACTTACTTGAATAATTTTAATTTAATTGAGCTGACAGTTGAGGTAAAACTCCCACTTTCTTTCCTGGCTTATCAAAATGGAAAACAATACAGTTTTCTGGAAAAAATCTGTGAAACCTGTAATACATACTCGCAGAATTCAGATTGGTTTTGGATGTAATACTGGAGGAATAGAGAAGAAAGTCTCTTCTGAATGCTTTATTACTTTTTTATTCCTTCAAATCTGGAAGGAAACTAAAATCAGTAAACAATCATCAGCTTGCCTGGATATATTAACACTTATCATGTTCTGCTTTCAGAAGCCACACTGTTAGTCATCAAAGAGAAGCAAGCCGGGTATAAAGAGAAATTATTACTCAACAACTGAGTCTACATAACTGATCCACACCCTTAGTTAACCATTTAAGACTCGTGGAGGCTAGCATTTCACCTGTTGCAATTAAGTCCAACATGGCCCCAGGATGCTTAGTTAGCCACCGGCACTAACTCTCCCAAATCAGATTCTTCCAAGTCATTTCTTGACTATTTATAACAGTTAACTATCTTTGTTGAAGGGTTATAAAGATTGCCATCTATGGTATGCTTCTTCCTGCTGGGAGAGATTTTGCTTTTTCCAGTTTTCCTGGACTCCCTTTATTTAGGAATCAGATATGTTCGGTGGGGACACCAGCTGGTACAAGTGGTAACAAGAGGTACCCAAGGAGTACAATGTCCCCTCACCATGGCTCTGATCAAGCCTGAACAGCTGTGACTGAATGGGAGAAATCCTATTTATTCTCTTGGAGATACAGCAAGGACTTCTCTTTATCCCTCTCACTTCTGCATCAAAGGGCAGCCTTTTAATGTTCGTGTTATCTGACCACAATGCTCAGGCCTGTGAATGCAGCTTCATGCGGAAGTACGGGGCCTCCAGTGGGCGACCCCTCAGCTGCTCTTGGATAGAGTGTGGTGTGAAGCTGGCAGCTAGGCACCGAGGCAGTTTCTATGTGGTTGCTAGGGATGCCACATTAAATATCCCGATGCTCTGTGCTGGTGATGAGGAAAAAGTGACATTCTGACTTCTCACATGAGAGTGGAATACGTGATTCACGGCCCTTCTGCAGCATTAATCAGGCCTTGTTTACATGGAAAGGAGCCAAAAGAGCTAGAGCCAAAGAGGTATGTTTAGAAAGCCAAGTGATGATGTCATCTGTACGGAGCAGCCCCAGCAAGCCACTTAACTGGCTTAGAAGCCTTGTATTTAGCTGTGGAGCAAATCCCAGTTAAGTGTCGAAGAAACACCATGGTGTTTGGCGCTGTTCTTGGGATTTACATGGTTTTACTATGATTTGTTTGTTAAATAGCATAACATCATCATTTGTTACTATTTCAAGTGAGAAACAGCCTCATCTACTGGTAAAATGGCAATAAGAGAGCTTTAAATCCTTGCAGAGAGAAAGCGAATACTTACATGTACACACATAGACACGTACATGCTCAAAGCATGAAAGAAACGCTGTTGGCCCTAGTAAGATAATGTTCTGTTAGTTATAGCAATCATATTTCTTCTTTAAGGATGTGTGGTCATATAGCCACATGTTCATCTTCAAATGGAATTATTTAAATATCCAGTGGAATTCACATATCATGAGTAGGTTATGACAGCCTGCTGCATGTTACAAAGGTTTGGACTAAATTTATTTTGTTTGAAGGTTGCACAGGTTCTCAATTTCTTCACTTCATTATTTCAAAACAACTTAAGCATAATTAATTATTTCCTTTCCATTGAAGAGTTTAGACTGATTTCTTTAACCAGTGTGGAGAACTTTAGTCTTGCATGCCAATTGAATTCAAAAATATTTATACATATTTTCAGAGCATTGATGTATTACTTTAACATGTACAGTCCTGATTCCTAATTGCTATGAGGAGCTTATCCCTAGCTTCATCTTTAGCAATGTAAAATTTGTACTTAGTTTCACGTAAGGCCCCATATACATGTTAAGTACTGAAACAAGTGAGGTGTTGAGACCACAGTGGTGGATGGATGGGCATGGTGCTTGTCTTGAGGGAATCTAGACACATTAATCAGTCTCTAAGGTACAGGTTCTATGAGACACAAATTATGCTCTGTATCTTATAGAACTTTTTAGTATAATCATATCAATACCTAAATTATAGACATTGATTTTTTGGAGAGGCTCCTTATGTTAGCTTTTCTGGATGAAAACCAAACACTTAGAAGTTATACTTTCTATCAATTTTTAAAGGATTCATGAGATGATCACAATAAAAGCTGTTCTTTTTTAAAAAAAGCAAACAACAACAAGAACAAAACGTTAGATTAATCTAGACGCTACAGGAAGTCCTTGAATAATTTTTTTTTGTTTTACTTTGCACACAAAGACTCAGACTATTTTATATAAAAGGAGGAAAGGGAAGGATTTGACTTTATTTAGTTGATCGCTACATCAGAAAGGGCAATTGCATTGCTTTTATTTTGAGTGTTCTATAAGCAGTTCAGCAGTTTCTTTGTATTGTTGAGGTGAGGCTGGGGTTGCTGGTGGGGTGGACATGCAAATAAAATGATGCAATAGTCTCCCAGGAACGGCAGGAATATAGGGGTCCTTATAAGAGAATTCTTGGGAAAAAAGTTTGCTTTCAGGGTTAGATAAATGGCAAGGCAGAGGCAGCAGGCTTGAAATAATCTGATTTCTTGGAAGCAGCGATTCTACTTTGTGATAGGCACTGACACAACACTTAATCTTCTGAGACAGAAAAAAAATGGAGTTTCATGCAATTTAGGAGACTTTCAGAACACTTTTTGAAACCAAAGCCCTCACTTTTTGGCTTTGGGTGTCAAACCACGTTGGCTTGAGCTGCTTTGGTCTGTTCAGGGCAGGGCTTAGTCTGCATATCTTGGGGACACTTCATGCCATTACAGTCTGTTCAACTCCCGGTTGATATAGCACAGGAATTTAGTCCTATCCCTTTAACAAAAAAGGGGGTAATTTCCTTATGTTCTGAAAAATATGTTTGTTAATTGCTTACCCAAGAAGTGTCTGGCATTTTGAAAAAGAAAGAAGTGATTTATTTAAAGACCCTAACAATCAGCCTGCTTCATAAATACTGTATCATTGTATGCGAATGTACTACTTATGCCTTCTTTGGCAGAGAATATCATTTGTAAACCAGTGTAGAATGCGAAAGTCATGATCTGTGGTTACTAACCACTCACGTCTCAGATGCTTTTTTTTTTGTTTCAAGCACTATATATTTCATTCTTCCTTTATTGATGCTAAAAAGCAGTCTACATTGCCCAAACTGAAGTGGTAATTTGGTAATTAGCCATATAACTTAATCAACAAAGATGGGAAAACCATTAACCATGAAATGCAAAAGAAAATCTTTTGGCATGTGTGTGTGTGTGTGTGTGTGTGTGTGTGTGTGTGTGTAAAATTAAAGGGAGAGTTGCTGTGTTTCACTTTGGACTATAGTAGGTGTGGCCATATGAAATTCTTCCAAGGAAAATGTTTTTTAATTTATAAAATTAATATTACAAGCACAATCAGGAGTCAGAAATGCCTAATTCATCAGTACAATTGTAAATGTAAGAAAAAGAGCTTCTCTTTTTTAGACATAATTATGGAGTAGGCAATTTACTTAACTTTGAAACCCTTTTAATGTCACAAGGGAAATGTTTGAATGACTGTTATGGAGTCTTCAAATGCCATGTGACTTCTTCAAAGAGCTATGTGAATAGTACATGCTTTTAATCATGCACCCTTCAGATGCCAGTTTCTAGTAGGTGGGGAAAGACACTGGTGTTTGTGATGGTTTAGGAGGTGCTCAGTTGGCAACTTATTAAAGACTTACAGATCTGAGATAATGCAGAGCTGAATTAAACTGCTCCTAATCTCTCCTGGCCCTTTACAGTACTTTCCCCAGAAATCTACATTCTCAGTGCTTCTCACATCACAAGCAGAGGCAAAGGCGAGCAAGAGGTCCCACCTCCAGCCACAAATTGCCATTATAGCTAAACCCAAATTTCCCTCTGCACACAGATGTGTTTTATCAGCTGACTTGGGTTACAAGTGCCAACACAGGGGAGGTGAGAATGGGCTGGGTTTGGGTGGCTATTGGCACAAGTGTTCTGGGGAGTGACCTCGACAACGTACCTAATTGGTGAAACTCTCAAGTTAACAACAGCAAAATAACTCAGAAGTGTCTTGATGTAGCAAATGAGTGTGATCTGACCATCAACGATGGGAAAGTAGCCTCTCTTGAGAGTTTTAGACTTTTTTCAGAGATAGCATGTCGCAGATGCAAGAAACTGTTCATGCATGGAGTAGTAAGTCCAATTCTTTTCTTCTACTCACTGCATGTGCGGCAGGGGAGGTAGGTCTGTTGTGTGTTGTGTCTCTTAAATTTTACAAATCTTCTGTGTCCTGTATCTTTGTGTTCTTCTGTCTTGGGAGGTGGAATGGGAAATTACTACATTGCTGCAATACTGTGTCTTCCAATTCTTAAACATGTTATAGCCTCCATTTATTTAAGCTTCAAAGTTTTTCAACAATGGTCTTACAAGATGTTTATTAGATTTATTCCTTGATATTTTATTTCTGAGTGTGCTGTTTTAACCACCAATTCAAAAAATTAATTTCTTTATTGTTAGTGTTTGGTATGAAATGTCCTTGTAGTATTATGCTCATAAATTGAGTCTGGGGAGGTTTTCTTGTGTTTCTTGTGGATTTTAAATAAATGGGCATTTGTTTTTTCTTTCTCTCATGTGGAGAAGTCTAAGCCTGGCATTTTCTTATGGAGGATCTTAAAATATAAATTCTGTTTCTCCAATAGCACTGTTCACATTTTCTATTTCCTTTCTGGCACATTTGGCTAAGTTTTGTTTCTGTAAGAATTTTTGTTTTGCATATTCCTTGGGATAAAGTTGTTCATCATTTCTTACCTATCAATGTATGGAATTTGTAGTGCTGTCCTCTATTTTGTGACTTCTTTTTTTCCCCCTTTATTGCTTTTGCCAGGTTTTATCACACTGACCAGTCTTTTCAAGAACTTAATTTTGGCTTTGTTGACCCTTCGTGTTATATACTTGCTTCCATTTCATATTCTGTCTTCTTTGTTTTTGGATTATTTTTATTTATTTATTTTCATGGTACTGGGGCTTCATCTCAGGGCTTTGTGCAGGTTAGACAAGTTCTATCACTGAGTAAAACCCCTAGCTCTTTTTTTTTTTTTTTTGTTCTTTTCGTTTTATTTGCTTTTCTTCTTTTGAACTGTATTTGGTCATTGAATTTTCAGCCTTTAACCTCAATATATCTAAATTTACAAATTTTGGACCACCCAGCCTGATCATTTTTTACCCATTTTTAATAAAGTTAAATTGACAAATAAAACTAAAGCATACAAAGTGATGATTAAAAATACATATACATTTAAAAATTAACATAATCCAGTTATTAACATAATCAAGTTAGTTAACATTCATCATTTGCTACATGGTTATCACTTTGTGTGCTTGTGTATATTGAGAATGTTGAATTTAGAGAATTTCAAGTACGTAACAGAATGCTGTATCTTGGGTCCCCAGAACTCAGTCATTTTATAACTGAGAGTTTACACCCTTTGACCAACATCTTCCTATTTCCTCCGTGACACCACCCTCCCAACTACTGATAACTGCCACTCTACTGGTTCTGCATGTGACTTAAAAAAAATTAGCCCATTTACAACTAAAATCATGTAGTATTTTAGTGTAGACACAGCCACATAGCATTTCTGTCAACAATGGACCACACATACAGTGGTGGTCCTGTAAGATAATAACGGAGCTGAAAAGTTCCTATCACCTATTGACATTGTAATCACTCATGGTTATTTAAATTGAGTAGGAGGGCTAGGATTTAGCTCAATGGCTCAGTGCCTGCCCAGCAAGAGTGAGGTCCTGAGTTCAATTCTTGGTACAAACAAAACAAAACAAAACAAAACAAAACAAAACAAAACAGGAAAACAAACAGAGTGGGAGTAAAGTAGGTGTTGTAAAATTTACTATTTTTCTCAAATATATAGCAGCTGCTTATCTCTATTGCTGTTCCAGGATAAACATCTCCATAAAGTATTTTGATCACATTGACACTTAGCTAGTTCTCTACTGAATTCTCACAGCACCATTTACTAAAATCATCAGTTACTACTTATCTTATACTACCTCTGGCTCAAATCATCACCATTTTGTAGATGACTGCTTTACATTTTTAATCAAAAACTCCATGTGAGCTCTAATTACATCTTCATGCCTTTGTATCCTTAATGATAGCATTTTGAATAGAAAATTAAACAAATATGTGTTAGTTAATCAGATAGTTGGAACATAAGCTATGGCCTTATGAAGACTACTTAACTTATGATTCCTCATATATACAAACATAAGCACAAAATGGTTCTGGATTTTCATTTTAATTGATTGATCAATTTTTATTTATTGAATTGATGCATATCATGAAAGCTAAATATGTTTAAATATGCAAATAGAAGTTTGCAAACAATATCTTTTCTAAATAAACTTACCATTTATTGGTAGTTTAGTCCTATACCAATTAATGCACAGTGATCACTCTACATTAAAGTAGGATCTTTATTTTCAAAATAAAAATGCCATTCAAAACAGTTGGCTAGATTAAAATTTGTTATGGTGGACATAGGTGTCTCTGCTGAGAATCTTGTTTGCGTTTGATGACAGCACATTGGGTGTGAGTCTTTCATGCAGGTGAGAATGAAGAGGACTGTGTGGTTCCTAGCTGTTTTCTACCCTGTGTCCATGTGAGTGCTTTCCTTTGGTTTGCGGTTATAACCGAAGGCACGGAGACTTTTGTTGTGCATCACCTTATGGATTTGGTGATGTGTGAGCTCTAACTAGCCATCTGGTGTTGAACTGTGTTGCCAGTTTGGCCCATGGCTGCTTCTATTACTTCTTAGCTTTCTAGGGCTCAGCTACAGTTTGCAGTTCTGAAGAGGTAACCTTTGGTCCACTACGAGTTTTTGGAAGGAAACAATAACAATTACTAAAACCTATGATGGGCCAGATATTGTGTAAAATAAATTTCATTACTTTCCCATCTTGCAGACACAAAAGTGGAGGTTGGGAGTCTGGCCAAACTAGAAAACGGAGAAGCCAGGATACATTCAAGCATTCCAACTCTCACATTCTGGATTGTTTCCACAAGGCAACACTGACCATAGGCACTGCAGCATTCCTGCCTTAGTTTTACATAAATAAGCATTGATATATTTCCTTTATTTAGTGACCTCTAATCAGTAGCCAATTCCAAAATTGTACTTCTTTACCATCCCTCCTACTTTAGGCCTTGTCAGTCCCCTTGTCACAGCTTTATTTTAGTCTCTAGTGACTTATTACCTGGACCACTGCAAGTGCATCTCACATATCCTTTGTCTGTAACTGGAGGGTCCTCTAATTTCAAGTTCTTCACTGACTGATCATTGACTACAGGAAGAAGTCTAGGTGTCCCGGCTCTTTATAATCTCTCTAGTCTTACTGCTGCTGCGGCCTCTTTCACACTCAACTCATCACCAGGACCCGTTCTATAACTTCTTTTTCTGCTCTTCCACTTCATTGTGATTCCTTCACTGCCCTAAGATCTATCTCAAATGTTCCCACTTTAAGCAGTATTTCTTATACTACAAGAACTAACTCTCCACTCTATGGCTGTCTTCTGTTTAGAATTCTATTACAGAACCTAAGATATTTAAGAACACTGTAATTTATTTACTCTCTCTTTGTAAATATAAAATAAGTATATGTCTTTGTTTCTCGACTTTAGACTCTTTGGAAACACAGTTGATGCCATAAATGTCTTTGGTTTGTGCCTAGCAGAGAACTCGTACATTAAGCTTTAATAAATGTTCACTGGGATATTTAATTAACTTTCTCAAAAGACTTTGCAAAGACAGAAAACAATTCTTAACATCTCAAAAAAAAATGCTCTTCTGCTGTGGTAAAACAAAGCAAAAGCAAAAGCAACACTATTGTGTACTTGGTGTTTTAAAATTTAGTCTTTTTCAATTTGTGTGGGTAAAAGAAGAGAAGATGAAAAGAGATGGGGCTTGGATGGAGGTTTATAAAGAAAAGAGGATAAACCCAAGAGGACCAAGTTTCCAAGGATGGAGAGGGAGAAAGCTTCTTCACCAGGAAAACAAAGACAAGAAAATTGGATGTGACAACCGTGTTTAATTTAACATAAAGGTTATGTCATAAAAAAGTAATTATTTTGTTTTTGGTCATTTCTGCTATAGAAGGGCCTGCAAAATTATCAGTTGTCAATAGCCATGTGGAAAATCTAAGAAAGTACAGTGGGAAGATTAAGTGGATATGTGTTGAAGGGGCCAAGAGCAAGAGAAAGCAATGCAATTAGTGAAATCATTTAAAAAATAGTTTTGGAATGTTCTAGAATATCAAGATTGTCTAGAGATTTCCCATCCAACCCCACTCAGGTAAGGAGTTTAAAAGTGAAAATGAAAAATCTTTCAACAACAATTCCGATCCCTTACTTTTATGATCAAACTAATAATTTGGTTAATTTCCCAGGTGGTGGCACATGGCTATAATACCAGCACTGGGGAGGCTGAGACGGCAGGACCTTCACAGGTTCAAGGCCAGCTGAACAACATAGTGAGACCTTGTCTCAAACAAACAAAAAACAAATAAACAAAAATTAGCTTGTAGGAAATTCAGTAATATTTCCATTGCTTTCTGGACTTTCACCTTCTGTATTTGGCTTTCATGACATATTCTGCAGATCCACTACAATCAGCTTAATTAATTGTATTTTATGACTTTGGGTCAGAATGCCAGAATTTCTGTGCCAATTTTATTGTACTCATTGAAACCTCAAGAGTATATTTCAGATATTGGCTTTCAGACCTTTCTTTTTGAATACGTTGCTATTTACTTACCATGTGCCAAAGCCACCATGTCAATGTAATTGAAAACAAGCAAGAAGGAAACTGGATGGCTCAGATGAATGGAAATGTGATACAGACCCTTCCACCCACAACCCACTGGCTGGAATCCAGGAGAGGCTGACGGGGATGAAAAGTAATCACCATCTGATGGCTGGACAATGGTCTGTGCGAAATGAGCTGGTTATCTCAAGTCCAGTTCCTCATCGACAGGTGTTCATGTTGCAGTTTCTACCGTCAGTGACAGTAGCCCAGGATGTGAATGAGAGACCAAAGCTACCTTCTCTTTCATTTGAGCTTGCTGCCCATTTCTGACACAAGGAAACTTGGGCTTCTGCCCTGAACTTTATAGTAGGTAAGCAGAGAATGTGACTGTGAATGTTTCTCTCTTTTATATCCATGAGTGCTAAACTAATATGGAAAACAAGAATACTTGTTCAGCACTTTTGTTTATATGTTTAATTAAAGTTTCTGTGATCTTACCAAAGGAAAAAGGCAATATTAGAAAAATGAGAGCAATATGACTATTTTTGAACACTGTGATAATTTTCCCTGAACCCTTAAAATTCAATCTAGCCTTGAAAAACCACTGAAGAATAATAATGAGAATTCACTGCCCACATGTGTTGTAAAAGCTTTAGGAAATAACTAAATTCAGTATCAATAATATTATCCATTGGACCAAAGCTGAAGATTATTTCCCCTATTCATTTAGCAAAAGATTTTTCCAAACTTTATAAATATTGTTATGTCTCTCCAATGCATTACCTCACAGGTCTCTTCTGAAAGGTATCCAAATTCTACATTAAGGCACTTGTGGGGAAAGTAGAAAAAATAAATGATTTACTTTAAATGGGCTTTGGAAAGGGTATGATTACGGTCTGAAATGTATCGCACTGACATAGTAATACTGAACTTCCTAATGGATTCTTAAATTTTGAGTAAGCACTAAGTCCATTTATTGAACTCCTTTCTGTATGTCTAAAAGTTACAATAAATACATGTATTTTTTTCCCTGATGGACTTTCTGCACTGAAGGACGTCATGCATTAGTTGTTCGGGCTGTGCTCAAAAACTGCTGCAAACGCATAGCTGGATACCCAACCTGAGTGTTAGGAGAGTCAAAATATTTTTTCTGAGCTAATAAGCAAGTATGCGAACAGAGAGAGATTTGTTTGGCAACATAAAGAAAACTGGCTAAAGTACACAAAGTAAAATGTCCTTACAGATGGACGCAGCCTCAGCCCACGGCATTTTCGTGTGATCAGGTAAGCAGGGCTGCACCGTGTCCAGAAACAGGCGACCTTACACTCTGGTGGTGCCAGGCAGACAAATATACAGAAGAGCACACAATGGCCAAATTCAAACATGAATAGAGGGCTGGATTTTCATTGTTTGCTCACAATACCTCCTGGGTGGAAGGAAGGAAATAGGCTGTATTGCCTAATAACTCGAAATGCCCCCGAGAAAGAAAAACAGACAGATTCTCATTTTGGTGGCACACTAGCTCATGTGGCCAGCAGTTCCTGGTGATAAGTTTTTCCAGGGCTATTTTGCAGACCCTGCTCAAAGTCCGAAGCCATAAACCATCCATGTAGTCAGTGAGTCTGTCTAGCTGTGAGGTGTCCAATGGTATGATTTACAGTCTCCGCCAAGGAGACATCTGCATGGGAAAGTCTGCTAATAAGCTACAAACGAAAGAGACCAAGGATGGAAGAATGGTGATAAGCTATTGTTTCTCCACTTGGTTAGTTAAATATAAAAATGTATTTTCAGCTTGTAAAAGTTATGTTTGTGTTCTTGGCATACATTCTAATGGGGATAAATTTACATTTTGGCATTTGGTCAATAAGAGCAATAAAACCAGAGTTTTAAGATAGAGAAGGCTAGAAGTCATGTAACCTAAAAGCACGTAGACACTCAGATAAAGGCTGACTGATACTATGAAAGCAAAATACTATCACAGAAGGCTTCTCCTTGAACTCCATGACAAACTGAAACAAGATCATATATGAAGATCATTTGGTAATAGTTGCAAATTTTTTATCTTCCAGTGTAATGGACAATTTTATTTTTATTTGCATAAAGTTATTGGCCTTCAAAGAATAACACTGATTCTAACTCTCATGATTTTGTCCTTAGAATTTTCCAACTTTACTTTCCCTTCAGTGCCTTCACGTGGCAGGCAGCGGGGCAAAGCTGTTTTCAGGGTCTCTATAAAGTTTTATTGCTTTAGAGGACAAACCACTATGTGTAGCATAAACAACAGTGCTGATGTTTCTCTGCCCCATCATTCAATTAGCCATCTGAAAAGGAATTGGTAGTTAATATTGTCTAGACATTCATTCAAGCACATAATTTTGAATGATTAATGTGGTAGGTGTACATGCAATGTATAGATATAAGATACATACAAGACACATAATACTTGCATATATAACATGTTTAGAACCTTCCTAGAATTCTTATATTTTTTAATAATAACTTTTTAAAAAGTAGAAAGAAGGCAGAAGATCTTTGACTATCTACCATGAGGTAGCTCTTTCTAGTAATGAATTATGAATTCTCTTTTTTAACAACTGAAATATGCTTTAGTTTGTTAATTGTATGATATTTCCTTGAACCCTTAAATCAGACATAAGAACCATACCTCTCATACTGTTTTGTAATGAGTCATTTGAAAAGTCATTAATGTCATTTGCAGACTTTGTATCCTAATTAAATTTCTCTCTCTCTCTGTTTTTTTTTTTTTTTTTTTTTTGTGTGTGTGTGTGTCAGGGATTGAACTCATGGCTTTGCACTTGCTAAGCAAATGCTTATGCCGCTGAGCTAAAACCTTTGGCCCTAATTAAATCTTAAGCAAATGAACTTTCTAAATGTTGAAGTGCTTTTCGGGGATCATGTATATCAATGTTTTGAGCTATATATGCACATAAATTACTGACATTGAAGATAATGGTGACAGGTAAGCAATCAGCATGTGTTATGTGTACATGGATTATACACAGAATATTGATTTTGGACCATTAAAAGAAACACCATTAATTTGATGGTAGACCCAAGAAAAATCAATTGGCTCTACTGTTTCACCTACTAAAAGAATCCTGTTTGATTTGTCCACTTTCTTCTATCATTTCCATCTTCATAAGAAAATCCCTTTTTTTAAAAAAAAATTGCTTTAAGCTTGATAGTTTAAATGGGAAAAAATGAGTGATTCAGTACCTTGATCACTTTTAGGCAAAACTCAAATTGAGCTCTTCTGAGGAAGGACATTATATTATTTTCAAAATGAGTAAGAGTCTTGAATCTTTCATTTAAATTAGCTCTCTTTTATATATGGCCTCAAAAATACCTTACCTTCCTCCCACACCCACATTCACCTACTACTTTTTCAGTTTAAATTCAATGTCTTCAATTTAGGAACACTTACAAAAATTGTAAGACATCCTAAAATGAAAGAAACTAAGAAATTACCATTTTATCATCTTGTATAAGTCCTAAATAGGAAGCAAGAAGTTCAGTCCTAACTTGGGGTCCCTCCTGAAGCAGCCCTAAAAATTTCTGCACAGTTGAGATGGATGCATTATTTTGACTATATCTTACGATTTTTGGCAAATCCACCACATTGCTGCAAAATAACAAAAATTGGTAAAAAATACATATAGCCTTACCAAAGCTGAGAAAATCATTGAATTATTCCTGATATTTCAAATCCTTCAAACTCTGTCTTAGAAAAATGATGCCTGTGGCTATACATATAGGCATAGATTTTCTACGAAACAATACGTTTTTGATATAATCAAGAAATGAAGCACAGAAATGCTTATCAAAAAGCACTGACTTTTTCACAGCCTCACCAAAATCTAGATCTAGTTGGAAATAAAATTCTAGTGGGATAGATTCCATATGCTTTACAAGCTGTCCAATATTTTTCAGTCTGCCCTATGAATCAGATTTTTCTCTCGACCTATTTTGTCATCTTTATTTACTGTCTACTTGACCCCTGCAACCTTTTCGTAAGTGGGAAGGAATAGGCTGGTTTAAATTCCCAGGATCTGTTTGGCAAGGTGAAGGATTTGCGGGACTGGCAGTAGGTAGGTGGTGGAGCAGGCTGAGGCCAGTAAAGGAAGGAATGCAACCCAGGTCCGGGAGTGGTGTCGAAGGGCAGTTTGTTTTCTATACCACTTCAGGTGCACAGAAGCGGCATGTAGCTGGGGTTGGTCTTCACTCCTGAGAAGTGGGAGTGGGGCTTCAGACGGGGCCAGAATCATTCTTGAGTGCAGACAGCTACAGAATGAACTGTCAAAGGAGAAAACGAGAGATTTTCAGAGCAAATGGGAGCTCTTCCTCACTGACACCACCGAGAGTATGTAGGCTACTTTCTAATAACGCTGATTAAATTATAGCTGGGGTTTTGTCTGAAATTTGTCTTATGACTGACTCATTGTACCTACCTTCACTGGCTCTGCAGGCCTTTTCGTGTTTCCCTTTTCCCTGTGCAGCCCTCTTAGAGGAAGCCCAAGGAGGATAAGCATCTAGCCTGGCATTCATAAAGGTTGTTTTCTATTGGTGCCAATCTTGAAAAGGGAGAATCAGAAACCGCTAAGTGAGAACCCAGCACTCTCATGAGGAGAGATGAGGGAGAGGGAGGGGAGGAAAGCCAGAGGAAACACACACACAGCTCAGATGTCTCCCATTTTTCCATATTCAGGAGGGAGCCCGTGGTGAAGAGCTCAGAAGGGTGATACTGTGATTAGGAAAAAACAACAAAACAACGGACACAACCTCCTCTATGAAGGCAGCTTTGTTCTGTGGTGTAATTTAAAAAGCAATCAAGGAAATGAATTTACGGTGGAATTTCTTCACCTCTTAAGGTTGCCTGGCCAGATATAAGGGATGTAAATTGGCCAGCAGTCTGCTGCAAACAGCACAGCTCTACAATCAGAGGCTGTGATGGAGTTAAATAAAGACATAATAGAGGCCAGAAAAAATAATAAGCAATGTAATCACTTGGTTCATCAAAAGATTACATAATAAACAGGAAATGATTAAAGGCAATATCACCAAAGGACATCCCTCAGATGGTGTGCTTTATAAAGAACACACTCATCCTATAAAACCTGTGAAGTTTATAATTATAATGATTTACTGTAAAGCAATATATAGTCCACCCATACCACCATAAAGTTTTTGACAAGCCAAACTCCCTATGAACTAACATGCTTCCAAAGGGGGTCTCACGTGCTCCCATTCTTCTTACTGGCACCATTAAAATTGACAGTGAAGGCCACGAAGGCAGTTACTTACCTGTGAAACTGAAAGGGCATTTGTTTGCAACCCAAGTAGGTGGCACTATAGGGGCTATTGGCCCCTCTGGTTAACTTTCTCATTGTGTATCTGCCACATTCTCCAGCAGGGACATAGATTGAGGAAAATGGAACGAAGAACACTAAACTAACCATATTTGATCTGAAAAACTGTAACTTTCCATATCCAATATGACTAAGCCTTTGGGAAAATTTAAAAATTAACCAATGAATAAGAACTTAGAACACCTTCACAATAACAAAGGGATTCGGTTAACAATTTGTCTTTGGACGGGGTGCACAGCTCAGTGGCACAGAGCCTGCCTGGCAGGCATGAGGTTGTGAGTTCAATCCCTGGTACAAAAATAAATAAAAATTTGTCTTTGGTTTGGGTCTTTGAGATAAATCATTTTAGAGCATTTAAGATTTTAATTTGTAAGGTGGCTTCCCTTTACTTTGATGGAGCCATACATAGCAGAATTGTATTGAAGCTGCAGTTGGTGCTTGGAGTGATTTTAACTTTTCACATGCAAGTGGATTTAAAGCCTGTTTCTTCTTGTTGTGCAGTGGACTTCTCAGTTTGCTACTGCAGTATCCCACCAGGCTTCATGTGTAAAATAAAAACCATGCCTTATTTTCAGGCACGGAGGGTATGCATACCGCAGTGTAACTTCTTGCACATGTATAGGTGATAATGACTTCCTAAAAAATAAACAACTCGCCTACAAATTTTCAAAGACCACCTGAAGCACAGCTTCAAATCACAGGTAAGATGATAATGCACCAGCGCATGGGCAATTTTGCATTTTGCTTGTGTTGGGATGGGCAGTTGAGCTCTTACTTTGGTTTTCCATTTGGAGGACATTTATATGTCAGAAGATTAGTAAAATGTGTACAAATGACATTGCCTTCGGTGGCTTGGTATATTCATAAACCACGCATAATTAAACATTCTTTTACTGAACAGGTATCTTTCTAGATTGAATTAAGCAATAATTTGTTCCGTTATTGTTTCCTCAAAGCAATTGCTTCCTGTGGCAACTGTATTGTACTGCAAGGCATTCGGAACAGGCCTGTCTTTTAGCTTTATAGAATGCAAGGGTAAGCACAATTTGGGAACACTATAGGAAAAGACCAAGAATGGAATTCAGAATACAAAGGGACAGGAAGCCATACATCATCATACAAAGTAACGTTATGACGTGGTGGCATTAGAAGGGACTTCAATAGTGCTGTAAGCCGTAGCCAAAAATACAGCAAGAGCTTGAACTTAGAGATTGACTCCAAGCCTGTCTTGAATGGCCCCTGGACACCTTGGCCTCTGTTTATATAAGTCTTTGTTTTTCTCTGACAGTACCAGGAACCTCACATTTTCCTACTCTGAGTATATTTCTGTATTCATTGTCCCTGTAATGCTCAGTTGCGTTGACTAGTTGACAGCTTGGCTGCATGGATGAAAGATTCTCTATTGACCATCTTCCTTGTCTTTTTTCTCTGCTTATTAAGTTGAATTCAATTCTATTATTTTTCTGGCCAACTCTGTACAAAGCTACCCCCTCCAGAAACTATGAGAGAACTGAACTTGGTTTACTCAACTAGGCTGAATTTGGTGGTGAGTCAGGAATATTCCGTAGGAGAGGAGTCATAGTGATTTGGTTGAGACGGAGTTTCTGGGTCCCATCCCAGCTCTTCTGAAAGCTTGCTGTGTGACTTTTAGGTAAGTCATAACCTTTCTGTTTTTAGTTTCCTGAAAAGTGGTGATAAAGCCGCAATGCTTTTCATCCATCTACCTCTGAGGAGTTGTGTGAAGGTTAGTTAATTAATTGTCAAGACTGCTGCATATGGGGTGTGTTAAGGAAATGTCAAAAAATGGGACAAACCAGGAAAAGAAGAAAAAAGGAGTGATTACGGAATAATTGCTAATTTTTCAACATCTTCAAGTTTCTAGGGCAGTTGTCAGGTAAATTTCCTAAATTTAATCATGCTAAAATTATGCAGGTGTCAGGTTGGTTATTTTTAGCATCATCTGCTTCTATGGGCTTCTAAGTAGGAGTCTATTGGTTTAATTGTTGTATTTAAGTCTCTGCCAAGTAAAGCAAGCTCTGGAGGGACTGTGGGCTGCAAATGTAAGCTTCCCTTGACCATATGCTTAAGGATATATTCAATCAATGGTCATGAAAAAGAAAAAAATGTTAGTACTTTCTTTGGGAGGCTAACTGCCTCCAGCCAGGTTAATTAACTGGTAGAAAATTGAAGAAGTTGGGACAATAAAAACTACCACTTCTTGAGCACTTGAGATGATCCAGGAACACAATTTACATTACTTTGTGTATCCAGGAAAGCAGCCCATCAGAGCTTCTGCTCCCTGACGCCCCTCTCACGGCATTTCCTTGGCAACCTATGCTAAGAACTTAGCCATGGCTAGGGGCAGGTGTGGTCATGGGCCCAGCAGCCTGGAGCTGGTTCTCAGGGGTACAGACTGTGAACCATTGGACCACATTAGTGTTGGGCTTTGATCAAGTGGGCCAACTGATACTGGACCTAAGAAACATGTAATTAGGCATTCAAGTTCAACAGAAGAGACTGAAACGTCAGCTGACTTGATGGTTCCAGCAGGTCATTTAATAGAAGATAGCGTGGCTGGCCTGTATAATTTAGTTTTGAGCATGTAAATATTCATTTACCTGGAGACATAGCAGGAAGAAGGTACAGAGTATAGATTTGTAAAACTTTGGAGCAATTGCTGCTTATTTAGACAGGTTTGGTGGAACTAGGAAAAAATGAGGAAAAGGATGCACGCACATATGTGTGTATCAGTATCTTCTTTGCTTATTTATTCTGTTTCTGCTTGGACAAATTGGAGGGAAGTACAGAGCAGGAGTCCATCTTCTTTCTGATGTGTAAAAGGTTTAAAGACCTTATAGGGTTCACGGTTGCTAAGTCAACCAGAACACTTCCTGAGAATTAGATTGGGGATCATCTCATTCCACTGCTGGAGGTTGGAGATTTCTGGAGACCCTTCTGGGTCACATAGTGGGCTTATGTGTTAGCTGCAAATAGAAGTTCACTTCTTTAACTCTCAATATCCAGAGTACCATTTATGAAAAGTGAAAACAACCTTCTTTCCCAAATGGTTGGAGCAGTAAATGTGTAGAAACCATAGCCTGTCAGAGTACAACCTGCCGTGTACAATCAGGGTCATTTGTGAATAGTTACAAAACATAAAAAGTTGGTGTATTTTGGGACACATAAGAGTAAAAACACCAAAAGAGGATGTTTTCTTCCTTCTATAAATACCTGCATCTCTTCAAGGCATTCAGGAGGCCTCCTATCCAGAGTTGACAGTGTGGGCGGCGTGCATCTCCACCTCAGAGGTTGAAACGAAAACAACACACACGCGCGCGCGAACACACACACACACACACACACACACACACACACACACACATGAGCGCGCACGCCACACATATCATGGGGAGAAGCATTTCTTCTTGTCACACATATGTTGTGGAAAATGTTCGCGGAGGCGGGGACCTGAGAGTGTTTATGTGGGAGTCACAATGCCTGGATCTTGAGGTACCAGGCGAGTGTAGGTAACTCAGCCAAAAAGCCACACGCGCTCTGCTATTTATAGCTTCCCGTGGTGAAAAAGTAAAACCAAAGCGCAGCTTCTACCTGCTGTTCCCAACTGAAGCTGACAAAAAACGGATAAGACCTCTTTTTGGTTACCTTTGTAGTTTCAACGGACGCATTTATAGAAGTGATGACTTAGCGGGTCCCCATCCGACCCCTCGCACAGGTGAGCAAGCCAGGCCTCCAACCCCTCAACAGTCAGCCTCCTTCCTCCTCCGGAAATGCTGTCCTTAGGTCCCTGGCCATGGGGAATGCATCGGATTTTTGTTTTGTTTTGGTTTTCAGGGGGAGTTTATGATTTACAGTCAAGAGTGTTCTTTTTCAGATTCACCCAAATCAATGGCGAAGGAGTATGTAAAGCATTGGACTCTCAGAGCTTTCCATCTCCTCTCTGACACTTACGTGCTAAACACACACACACACACACACACACACACACACACACACACACCACACCACACCACACAGATTGCACAATATTCACCAAAGTACTACAAACAAAACAAAACTAGTACCGGATCAGAATCGTGTCTTATAAACAAGACCTCAATGCTAGCAGAGGACGAAGCCCTGCTCTTTCTTAAGTTTCTTAGCATCCTGGACTCCAAAAATCCAGGTACCTGGATTCCAAGGCACTCATTAGCCTCACAGGATGCCAGGGTGGGTTTTCTTAAGGCTTTTGTCTGCTATGAGAGCACATTACTATTAGAATTGTTGAGAAGAGCTCACAATCTTTGCAAAAGAATCAGGACCCTGGGTGGCAGTGGGAGCAGGGGAGGGCTGAGGCATCGCACCCCACCGCTCGGCCCCCAGCGCGCTGGCGGGTCCCCAAGCCTGGCAGCTCCCCAGGCAGCGCTAGCGGTAAGCAGGAAGCTGCGGCCAGGGCTGAGTCGCTCAAAAGCTACTGGAGCTAATAGATTGTGGTCAAGAGGAGAGCGGCAGCATCTCGGTAGTGATGGGAACACTCAAAAGCATCGTCAAAACAGTTGCAGAAACATGCTGAGCTCTGCACTCCTCGTGGTGCCTGCTGCAGCCGGGCTTGGAGTTTGCTGGAAGCGCTGCAGCCTGGCCCCGCCCCTTGCCTGTGTCCAGCCCCTGCCAGTCTTATCCAGCCCAGCCCGGGTGAGAACGGGGTGGGGAGTAGGGGGCCCTGGAGAGGGAGGAAGGGAGTGCAAAATATTGCACGCACCAGGCTGTATGCAGAGGAGCAGCTTGTTCTTGAGTTCCCTTGCCCGTCAGGTTGGGCAGTGCTTACTCCTCGCCCTGTTTATTGTACTCTCCCCGTCTCCATTAGAAACACCATTTATTCCTGATGTAAACATGTGGGGTAGTAACTGTAGGCTCTCAAAGCCCGGGAAGGTAAAGTGCGTTGGGAACGAGGCGCCTTCCAGGAGCTGGCCGGGGAAGTGAGCATTCTGACTAGCACAGAGGCAGCCCTACCTGATTCAGCCTATTTTTGCTCTCCTGCTCTTTATTCGATTAGCTTAGAATTACTCTCCAAACCGAGGGGCTACAAGGACACACAGCCAAATAGTGGAGAGGAGGTGGAGTGGATATGACTCTGAACTAGTGACCCAGTCGACACGGGAAGTTCTTCTTGGTTCCGAACCAGGATGACCTATCACTTGATCACAGCCAACAGCTCACCATCCCTCCTCCCCAAAGGCCAACCCAAGTCCCTGAGCCCAGCCCAGAAGCAGGGAGAAGAGCACAGAGGTGGCTGTCAGCTCCAAGGTGCACCCAAGCATCCTGGCATGGGGGATTTAAAGCCTTCTTAATACATCCATAATTTATTTTATTATTTTTATTTTACTCTTTTGCCTTTTAATTGTGATAAAAATAAATTTTACCATGTCTACCCAATTTTAAGTGTTCAGTGACATTAAGTACTTTCATGTGTGTGTAGGGGGGGGCTCTTTAAATAACACTTAAGAGAACTCTGCAGAGCTGGGTGTGATTATGCACACTTGTAATCCTAGCACTCAGGAAGCTGAGGCAGGAGGATTACTGCAAGTTCGAGACCAGTCTATGCTACATAGTTCAAGGCCAGCATGGACTACATAGTGAGAGCCTGTTTTACGAAACCAAGAAAATATATCTTTATGTATCTTTCCATTGTATGTTTGTTCAGGCTTAGTTCTGTACCTCTAACTGCTTCCTGCCAAAATTTGGATCCTTTAGTTTTATAACCTGCTTCCTCCTCTTTGTCTTCCCTAAGATCTTAAGTGGGTTCCCAAAATGAGGATCTTAATGAAGCCACTTGGTTTGTGGTATGGACAGGGTGGCTTAGGGCCTTCCTTTCTGTCAACATCTTCTATCCTTTCAAGCTCAAGGAATTTGTTGAGTCAACAACCCAGATGTGCCTTGCTCTTGGGTATCAAGGGGAGGTGGGAAAATAGAGAAGTCAAATTCCTGATCTTGGTTTAAAGCAAATTAGAGCTCAGGAAAGCAGCACACCTCTCCTTGTACTCCCACTCCGACCTTGATCACAGATCAGAAGACTGGCTTATAGCAGTAACTGCACCTGCAGCTCCAGGCTTGCTATTCCACAAGGGGGTTGGGGTGGGGGAGAGGGCATGCCTAGCTCTTTCCTGGACATGGAGGAAGAAGAGAGATTAGAGCATCATGGAATTCTTACCTTTTTTTAAATTTTTTTGTCTTTTTACTAGACAAGGTCTCACTGTGTAGTTCAGGCTCGCCTTCAACTCACTTTGTAGCTCAGAGTGTCCTCGAACTCACAGCGATCCACCTGTCTCATCCTCCTGAGTGCTGGGATTTCAGACGAGCACTTCCACACCTGGTGATACATCTTTTTTGAAAGAGGGACAAAGACAGCAAAATTTGAAGGTGTGTGAAATTGAGTTTTTGTATTAAGATTTCTAAACATATCTTACATTGCTTGACTCTTCCAAACCTAAGAAGGCCTTAGGGACCTGTTCATCTAAAGTCCTTCAATTTGTTAAAAAACAAAATAAAACAAAACAAAAAGGTTGCTGAGGTCCATAGGGCCACATAAGCTCTGGTGAGACTGCCCGGCTGACTAGGCTGACTACAGCTGAAGGCAATCTTGGTTCGTTCAGTGGAACTTTATTGAGCACTTATTACAAGGTAGACTGAGTTCTAGACCCTATTTTCTCACTAATGGAAAAAGAAGCAAAGACCCTACCCTCACTTAGCTTAGTGTGCTAGACCCTGCTCTAAGTACCTTGAGTGTATTAACACATTTCACCTCTCGACCACCTGGGATTTTCTCATCCACACTTTAGAGAAGATTGAGGCACAGGAAGGAAGTTGCAAAACTTAAATGCACATTTAACAGCCTGACTCAGGGTGCATGCTCTCAGCGATGATGGTGGCTTATACACATGTGCATGAAAATACAGACTGTTTATTCTTGTAGCTCTATTCTAATGCCAAAACTGAGTCCAAAAGCTTCATATTACATCCTATCACTTCATTTGCTTTGAAAAAGCCAGTTGGCTGGGATCAGGACAGATGTCTCTGAAAGTTACTTTGTATTAGAAATCTACTTCTTGCAGTCCACATCTCTCAATAGGCAGGTGTAGTCTAGTTTTTAGTTGTGTCGGTGGAGTTTTACAAAGCACTTTCATACAGTTTCCTTGAGTCCTAACACAGTCCTTTACCTCTACTTCACAGATGCACATACCAGGCTCAGAAAAGTCAAGTGACTTCTCCAGTGTCACTCAGCAAATCTGGAACCCAACCCAGGCTCTCTGAGCTTATTTCCTGCTAGTGACAGAGGCTCAGTTAATTCAGCGAGAAATAAATTGGCCCTTCCTGGATAACAGCAGATGTTACTCACTCACATGGGACTGTCAGATGTTTAACTGGGGAAGGACAGAAGATTGCTATCTTATATCTCAGAGAACTTGATTCCAATAGCTTTCTCTTACTTTCATTAAAAGAAAAAAAAAAAAAAGATATCCAACTGGAAAGGCAGGGACAGACCCTGATTTGTAATAGTAACGTGGATTAAGGCATCTTTCTCAGAGAATGTCTATCTGATTGTTTCCTCCCATCTCATCAGAGGTAAGAGTTTTGAAGAGAAGACTCTGAAAAAAATAAAAGACTTTTCATGTGCCTTTGAATACGCTTTCTTACACTGGGCTTTCCTACACTATACCACAAAATGTGGTAGAAAGTGGAAAGATGGAATTCAGCTCCATGTTGAAACACTCTCTTGCTAGGGTATGAACAGTTCTGGGACGTCCTGGAAACAAGTTTGTTAGCCTTGGTACAGACCCATTGTGACTTTTCCCTTGTTCTTCCCTCCCTCCTTTTTCATCTCTTTCCTTCCAAATATTTTCCCCTTAAAGAAGGGTCATTTCAGAAATAGAGACACTGTCCCCCCATTCAAAATAAAAACAGATTTATTAAGTCTCAGAGAGCATGTATTTTGACATACAGCCTTGTAACTGTCTTAGTGAATGGGAAAACAGTGAGAACTTTGAAGAGTTCTTTGGCTACTAAGATGTTTGTATCTAGGCACATATGATAACTAAGGAAATGGATTACAAACTTTTCATCCTAAAATTAGGTCACACACTGTCTGTCTACTTACGACCTCATTCCAGCAACGGGAAGCAGACAAAGTCTGTGTTTTTGGATTCCTTGGGGCATTTTCCAGGGTTGACTTTCAGTTACAGCACATGTATAGAAATGTTTCCACCTGTGACCTCATGGCAGAAGCACATGGCTCCTTGAGAATCATCTAGAACACTTCAGAACAGCAAGTGTTGTGGCCTTTGACATTAAGTGCACAGGACTAAGCAAACCTTTCCTTGAGGGATAAGATCTGAGACTGCTTTCTGGAGCCCTTAAAGGAAACTGAGCCAAGTTCTTCAAGCACAAATGCCACCCTGGGTCCCTTCAAACAGATGTCATTGTGTTCTTTATTGTAGCTGTCACAGGTCTCAGTAACTTGCTTTTTAAAAATTGTGACAGGAGAGCAGATTTCATGTTACGTGTTTCTCAAATAAACTGCTCTGTGTAAACCACCGCACTGTTCACAGTAACCAGTGTGTGGGACCCCGATCTCTAAAACTTGCTCATCTCACCTTAGCTGAAACTCTGTGCCCATTAAGCAGCAGCTCTCACTTTTGCTTCCTTCTTCCCCAGCAAACATCATCCTCTTGTCTGCTTCTACGGGTTTAACTGCTTCAAATACCTCATAGAAAACAGTTTGGAGGTTCCCTTAAATCAATAAAAGCATCAATAAAATTGATCAATCAGAAGATCAATCATCTAGAAATCCCACTTCCGGTTGTTTTTTCTATACAAGTAATTTAACGTCTACATTGTTAACAATGTTCTACACAGTGCCGCTCACAGTGCATTTGGAGTGACCTTTGGTAGAGCCGATGGATCCCTTTGCAGGGAGATAAACAGTTTCACAGCTTCATCTCTGAGAAGTGAAACTTCCGTCAAATCATGTATTCAGCCCCCTATTAATGGAAAGGGAAAGTCCTGTTTTAATGTAAACACATTTAAAACAAACCAAAGGATGGGAAATGACGGCAGAACTGTGGCGCAGGGTCTCACCAAAGACAAATACCTAGAAACCAAACTTTGTAACTGTATGACGTTTTCAATATCATTCAACAATGATTTCAATATACTTCCTATGAGTTTATATCCAGCTAAGAGGATATAGATATGTTTAAAAATCATACTCAATCAGTCTATGTTAGGAGTGAATGATCCAAGACTCCAACAATCTCGGTTAGGACTAGGCTTGAAAATATGTCTAAGAAGGCAGATACTCTCCCCTTCTTCTTTTGTAGAGAAAAAGGTGTAAATTCCATTTATATTGTAAGTTCCACTACCAAGACCAAAAAAAGAAGATATTCTGTTTTCCTTCCACCGCGCAATTTCCACAGGTAAAATGGAATATGTACCCCATCTATAAACACCTGGGCTGGGCCAATCCTACTGACATTCACCTTGTTGCCATCTTTGCTTCTTACTGTTGTGTCAGGAAGAGAGACTTGACTTTTACTGGTGCTTTCCATTTGTAAGTTTTCTCTTTAATTTCCTTAGAGTCATTTTCAGAATCATAAATTACTCTTCGACCCTTTCATGTTCCTCTGCCCCTCCCTGTTTAGACACAAGTCTTCTCAGTAGTGCCCTCCAGTTCTAGCCTGTGCTTTGCTGCTACCCAGCTGTGTGGCTTTGGACAAACCACTCCATCTTTCCGGGTCTCTTGTTTTCTCATCTCTGAACTAAGGGTGTTAGGTTAGAAGGGACATACCTGAGTTCCTGGGAAATCTAAAAGTTATGTTTACTAGGACTTGTTGGTGATTTGCACTGACTACCAAAGATGCAGGCATCACAAGATTTTGTTTCGGCAATGGGAACTCACGGGTAAGTTTGTAAGATCAAATCTTAGGGAGAGGGTGAGATTGATGGCTTTCTTGAAAGAATTCAATATTAAGTTTAATTGTCTCTGATGGTATTTTAATTCTAGCACATAAAACTAATATTTTCCATTTTATTTCTTACAATTTTGTAAAAATAGAAGTCAACCGTGTTGAAATCTAGATGTGTCTATCTAAAAAGGCTTTGAAAATGAAGTCTTTCAGACAGAACTAGAAAGCAACTAAAGGTTTTCCCCTTAATTAGGAAGGTGCCTACAAATATGTCATGTGATAGTCATCTACCTGGGTCATTTCTGAGCCTTGTAGCTGCCACCATTGCTCTAGATGCTAAGAACAGGGAGTCCAAGTGTTAGTGTTCTTTTTTTTTTTTTTACTTGTATCAGTGTAATCTCTTCTGTTTTCCTTTGAACACCATAGAAGGTTTACGATTCATATTCATCTGGAGGGAAGAGAGGA